CCGCAGGCAGCGGACGTCGCCACCGGCACTTGCTCAGGGACCGAATCAAAAGGGGGATTATTGTTTTACAGCTGTGTTAATGCATTGAGCCGACACAAAACTGGGCAGGCTTTCTGCTGAGCCGCTGCTGAAACGGGCTCCACACACCAGCCCGGACAAAGTGCGGTGACTTAGAGCTCAAATGGCTTCAGAGAGGTGCCAGGAGCCGAGCTCCCAGAAGGAAGCGTTGGCGGCCGCTGTGCTGCCTTCCCGCTTGAGCTGTGGCCAGTTGTGCATTTTGCATGCCCCGATTATGCAGGCTGCTTCCCTATCGAGCTGGTGAAGAAGGGAGCAACCTTTTTCCCGGTAGCTAAAAGACAATATTGTAACCTCCAACCGTACTATTTATTTTTAACCCCTCCAGGAATCACCTGCCATTTAAAAGCTGTATTTAAGAGTTTTCTCCTGCTCCGCTGGAAATGCTCGCTCCTCCTGGCACTAGTCCAAACTGAGCTCCACAGCTTTGAAAAACTAAGACACAAGTCTGGAATATCGCTCTACACCTGCACAAACACAGATACGCGCAAACACGCGCGCGCACAGAGTCAGGTAGCGGCCGCATTTTTGGCCGGCGCGAATTAGCAGCGTTTAAGGGGAAGGTGAGGGAGCGGCACTGCTTTACATCCACCAAATCCCACCCCCTTCATTTAAAACTATGCCCGCCACTTTATTATTAAATAAAGGGTAGCTACTAATCAAGGGCAGTTTCTAAATGAAGATATGTGGTGGAGTGGTCGCCATTAAAAAGCTGGCATTTGCCAACAGCTACCGCACAGTGGTAGAAGAGAAACCACAGTTTCCCCCTGTATTGAGATCAGGAAATATGTGTGTTAATTGTGGGGTATCTTCTGGCAAATGCTCTCTTTTTTTTCATGGTGGCAATTCGGCCAGTGCATGCGTGTGTGCCTTGCAGATACATGCAAACACCGTGGCAGCAGGGAGAAATACTTATCTGTGCTCCCTCCAACCCTAGAAAAGCAACATTTTCTAAGGGAGCTTACGCCGTGGCAGCAAGGAGAAGTATTTATCTGTGCTCCTTCCAAACCTAGAAAAACAACATTTTCTAAGTGAGTCTCTCTACCTCAAGAGTCCTGATTCGGAAAGTAGGCCTGCATGTTGATCTGACAGCTACACATGTGAGGCAAACGGGGATACTTCATCCTTGGCACAGCATCCAGCGCTCCAGTCTGCAAGGACTGCATTTGATTTTGTCGTTTATCTTAAATGGCTAAGAGACCACCAGTGCAAAACATTTGTGTGAAGCTTTTGCCAAAACCACAAGTGAAGAGCCTAAATTCCCTGTGTAAATACTTGAGCTTCAAGCATCAAGGATAAAATTTGTGCTCTTTTGTGAGGACTGTTTTTAAATAGAAGCCATCTCTGTGGCTTATGGGACGAGGAAGGTTTTTTTTATTTTGGGGGCTCAGTTGCTTGGCTTTTGTAACTGCTTGATCTCACTGGAAGTACTACACAAGCAGGTAATGATAACTACTACCCAGATTGTACCTGCATCACATTTTGGGCAGGACTGTGCACTAGGCTTGCGGAAACTGATGTCAGGCATGGATTTCTACGTGCGTATGAACCACTCTACTGCCACTGTAACATATATGACAAGTTTGGTTTTTTCATGGAACAAGCAAAAAGTAACAAAAATTTCCTCAAGTGACTTAAGAATTGTGCCTTATATTCCTAATATTACAAAAATAACTAGGCTAGCATAGGCTATGTTGAGCCGCCGGGGCACTCGTCCTTGCTGGGAAAATTGTGAGCTTGAAATTGGGATTTAGAGTAGGGCCACAGAGCAGCTACGTCTGAGGTGACACCTAGACATGTCTGTGGCCCCACCATGACTAATGGCACAGGTCCTGCAGTCACTTGGCCCTCTGCACGTCATGGTGGTGTAGCACAGGTTTTCAAGGAACTCATCACACAGAGGAACTGTATGAAGCCCACCAAGTTGCACCATCAACCAGAACTGCATGGGATTTTAATGGGAGGTGCACAGGTCCTAGCACGCAACCCTACCCTGAGCGCAGTAGTGTGTCTCCTCTAGTCCTGATGGTTCCCATCTTTCCATTGGCAATGAATTTGATACAATTGGCACAGTCCTGGGGTGCCTGAGAAGATGCTGAAAGCTCACCAAGTGGATACAAGGAGGCCCTCCCTGCTCTTATCCGATACGTCTCCTCTAGTGTGGAAAGGAAATTAAGATTTCAAATAGGAGGTTTCTAACCATCTGGGCAAAGGGATCCTGTAAGAGCCTTCCAATAGGGGAACTGGGGGCAGGCCAGCAACCCACTTTAATGAGGTGCCTAACAAATTTACGGGAAGGACTACATGAACCAGTTGCCAGTGAAGGGATGGAACTGAACATGTCACTCAGGCCTCTTTCTGTCCTTTGATGTATCTATGAAGAAATCTAAAAAGTGCTAACCTAATGTCAGAAAGGAAAGGTTTGGTAAGGGAGAAGAAGAATGGCTGAAGAGAGGCTCTGGCAGATCCTCAAGGAGTCCTACCACCAGTCCTGAGTCCAGTGCTGAGACAAAGATCGTGGGGCTGCCAGACCAGGAGGCTGAGTCTGCCCAAACCGGGTGATTCCTTCTCCTCTTTGCTACCACTTTTGGGTTTGCTTCTTGGTCACAAATCAGGACAGTCCTATAGAATCAGATCAAGTGGCAAATAATGGAGGGAAATTGTATCCACTGGCCTCAAGGAAAGACATGGAGAAAAGGAGTGTTCCACCGTATGGGATACCTCTTCATAGCTATAGAAAGAATAACAGAATTTAACAGTGGTGCTCAGGAATGCTTAGCTTGTGTTTGCTAGAACATGCCCAAGTTTTACCTCTCCAGCTCTTCTGTGAGATTTTTCCCCATAAAGGCTCTATTTAAAGCTGAAAATTAAGACAGGGGTTCTACCGTTCTTCAACTTAACTGCTACAGTGATAGACAAACACAAAATGAACTAACAGATTAAAAAGTAAAGGGATATAGGTAGACAGACAGACAGTATCCTAAGGTGGTGCTGAGAGTTTTCTGCTCAACCCAGGCAGCACCAGGCGAGGGAGGGGAGCCAGTCTCTGGAATTCTGCGGCCGATCAACCACATCATGTTGCACACAGGTTTCAAAAAGAAAACACTCCTGCGAGCCCCTGACTGCCGCAAAGGGCACAGCCGCAGCCTGCACTAAGTGAAAGCAGACCACCAGAACTGCGCTGCAATCTTAGAGGCAAAAATCCAACCCGACCAGGGTGAGCGGGCACACACATGCAGGTCTGTGGCGCTCGGACATCGCTGACACAATGTGTGACGCTCAATTTTGCTCTGGGGTCAGCTCTGGGAAAGCACTCACCTGCACTGCAGATCTCAATTACATATTCTGCATTCATTCTGCATAGATGCGAAGGGGAGTTTTGCACGTAGCACGAGCGTGAAACATGCGCAGGCACTGTCACCGTGTAAATAAAAGATCTGCATCGCTGATGGTAAAGGAGGATTTTTGTCCTCATGTTTTAAACAGGCTCAGCATATACTCAGTGCCTGTACATGGCAGTAGCTCACAGGTTATGTTGACTCCCAGTCACCGCTAAGAATAATTTTTTTGTTCTCTGCTATTTTTAAACTTGCAAAGAAGAAAATAAGGTAAATTGGACATGACCCCAGAAGATGGAAATGAGCATAAGAGCTTAGATGAACATGACAAAAGCCACAATCAAGGCACAAATTGCATCCTTTTGTTGTCCCTCTCCCTGAGCCTAGGCATGACTGGCCATATGTAAAACACCACACTCCTCTGGCACATCTGCAGAAAAGTCCCTGAGCAAACCACAAAGATGGAGCTGCAAAGCAGCATTCACACCGTCCCACCTTAGTGTGGTTCAGGGGATCCGATCGTAATTTAAGAGATTTTGCTTTACATCTTGTGTCACGTGTAAATGCAGCCACACATAATTGCGTAGCAGGTGCATCCCTGGGGGTGTCGTGTGCTGGCCTGTGTGGGTGCCTGGGTCTGTATCTGTGCACAGGCAGACGTGCAAGCCACTTCACAGGGCACAAACCAAGTTTTTCTGGGTGTCTCTCCCTGTCTGCCTGTATTGGAAAATCAATCAATAGCTGGTTAGAGACTAAAGCTCAGTTCCATTATTAAAGATCTCTCTTTCAATAAGAAGAAAAACATCTGTTCAAACAGTGTATGGCTACAAATCCAGAGCGCAGGCTGCAGCCTCATCCCTGCCCTGTGCCCGTCATGTTCAGGGAGAGTGCTGCAGATGTTCTGAGATGGGTTTTACATGTACCATTGCAGCAGCCTTGAACAGACATATCCAAAAGTGAGATCTATTCACTCATCTTTCCAACAGATTTTTTCCCAAGCTTTTCCTGAAACAGGTTGTCTCATCTGTATTACGCCCTCTCATACGGACTGTTCCCACCTGGTATTATTATCTTCCTACCATGCCTTTTTACACAGACACCAAGAGGGTCGACGAAGCAACCGTGCACAAGCACACATGTGTAGGCACACAGAGTGTACAGAGATGGAG